CTGTGATGTTCGGTCGGGCGGTGGGCAGGTGAGATTCTTGCGCAACATTGTGTACCCGTGTTCGGGTGCGTGTTACGTAACCCCGTGCTTGTGCTCAAATGCGGTTTACGTCTACTAAATGGACCACACACATACACACATGTACACCACATGTCATTCAAAATTCGACATGATGTCGGGCAGTTGTAAGTTACGAAAGAACTACTGAAATTCACGCGCATTCCTGAGGAAACCGCGTCGACCGGTTTTCGTCGTAGGGGGCGACGACAATTGCGCGTAGAGAACACACGAATCGTGGAGAACCGCGGCCTTGTGGCCACCTGAGACCACCCCACGAGAAGCCTATGTGCATTGCCGATCACCATGTCCTCTATGACACCTGCTGGCAGTACTGTGCCATTCCACTACCTGCATATTCGCTTTACAACTTATTCTACATTTATTCAGTGCTACACTCACTTTTCAAAGCAAACACCCTGCCACGTGGGTGGTCCAGGAGCGCGTTCTGCCATGGTTTTCTTAACTTTTTTTGACATTTTCTTGCATTTTTTTAAAATTTACTTTTGGTCAACTACTTCATATTACTTCCGCATCCCATTCTCTCTTCACTTATATTCCTAAACATTGCAAACATCTGAAGTAACTGCAATTTCTCCCCATCGCATTTCACGTCGCTATCTGTTGGTCAGCTGAGTTCTGACCGACGAGAACCGACGATGTTCCGTGTTTTTATGTGCCAGTTCGCTTTTTCCATGTTCTATAATGGGAAACCTCTCTGATAACGTTGAACGTTCCTTTTACCACAATCACGTATTTATAGTTTCACATGCCAGGGCCAGTGTGGAGCCCGTTCGGAGGCTAACCTTTTTTCCTGACTTGTTATGTGTTACTGTTATCTATGTTACGTCATAGTTTCTGATACCGCTGAGTTAGCTTTCTATGTCCGGTGGTGATGATAAACAGAACAGAAAACTCTTTAGCAGCTAACAGCTGGTTCGGTTGTAGCGGTCTATCTTTTCGTGAGTCTCCTCGCAGTTGTTCTGCAAACCCTCAACACCTCTCACACTGGCTCTAAAGTGGTGTGAGAGTGTTTCTCGCCGTGTTTCTTCCGAAAATCGCCTTTGAATTTCAAAACAATTGAATTTTTTCACGTTGATTTATTGAGTTCAGAAACGATTGCATGTACTGGTTTGATCTCGAAACTCGCGTTCGAGACGTCTTAATACCTTAAACGAGACTTCGGTATTTTGGTCAATTCACGTGAAATATGCTCGGAAATCCTTATCCAAAGGAATTCGGGGCATTCGACGGTGAGCCGGCCATTTTTTTCACACATTTCAAAAATTTTGGTGTTTTTATTCATTTTCATTACATACCCTTCTTACCTCGAGCTCACTCTACTCTGATAAATTTTCGATATCTCCAACAAATTTTAAAAAAGCGCAAATTCGAACTTGTGCAGTGGGGGTTATAGATAAGGGGGCAATGTGCCTCCGGGTGGGGGAGAGGGGAGGGCGCTCTGTAGGAAGACTATCTAGGATCAAGCCCAACGGAGGGACGAGTTTCGGGGAGAATGAAAACTGCTTCCTTCCTTCTCAT